CCCCCCCCCCGCTCTCACTACATAAATATATTTCTATGAAGAACCCTGACTAATACAGGCACTACAGAGTAATAGAGTGAACTTCTGACAGAAAGATCCAGTTTCTGTGGGGTAGAACTGAGTACCCATCTGAAAACTAAGAGCCAATATCTCTAAAAAGAGGCCAGATCACCTCTGTGGTATGACTTGAAAGTGACTAAGCTTCTTTCTGAATCCACACCAAAAAATCGGATTCATTACTTTATCTTCACACCTGGTCTATCAACTTCCTTTCTGAAATCAATACTCTCTGACCTAGGAGTCCGCTGCACCAAGCATGTCAAACTCATGGCCCATGGGCCTCATGCCTTGTTTATTTGTCCCATGTTAGCCTTTGAGTTTGACATGCTTGTGCTACACAAATAGCCAAGTCTTCCAGTATAATGTCTTGTTTGGGGAAACTGTCTATATTGGTGGTTAAAACTGCCACTTTTTCTAACAGGGCCTCTCTAAATCTCGGGAGGGTATTCGAAAGGACCAGCGCAGCAGACAAACTTATCCATCGCTGTCTCTTCAAGGCCTCACACAGCTGCCTGCTGTGTTTGAAGTTGTGTTTACCAGTTCCTTGATTTGCTCCTGGGGCTTTTTCAGGGTTACAGCTACCACTCTAAAGTCCCTGTACCTGGTCATCATCAATAGGTAAATTAGCTTTGAAGACGTACGTTAGCTCTGGCTATCACAAAACTATGCTGTCAACAGCATCAAGGAACTAGAAAGGGACGGTATGTTTTACCCCCTGATCCACCCTATCCCATAGTCCAGAAGGATGAAGAGTGTATGACCCAAACATGATTACTTTTAAAAAGCTGGCTTTGGGGGCTAAAGGCATGAACTAAAACAGAGAGAAAAGCCATTCTTGATGACATAAGTAAGAAGTCAGGGACTGGGCCCCATAACATCACAACTAAAAGCCCAAGTTCAGGTCCTGGCTGGTGTTGCTCAATGGATAGAGCATCGGCCTGCAGACTGAGGGGTCCCGGGCTCGGTTCCCGGTCAAGGGCACGTGCCCGGGTTGCGGGCTCGATCCCCAGTGGGGGTCGTGCAGGAGGCAGCCGATCCATGATTCTTTCATCATGGATGTTTCTCTCTCTCCCTCTCTCTCCCTCTTCTTTCCTCTCTGAAATCAATAAAAATATAGTTTAAAAGCCCAAGTTCAGGATGCGATAAAATGAAGTCCTCTCGCATGGAGAACCCCTGGGTCTCGGTGACACCCACTCACCATCACCGCCTAACCCTAATCTGGTTGTTCACCTGGTTTTCAAGGATTCTTCCAGGGCAATGGGAACTTCAAGTCCCCCGCAGGAGGCAGGGTTTAGAAATGGGAGGACGGTGGCACGAATAGAACCACAAAAGGGTCTGGATTTGGGGAAAGGAGATGAGCTGTTCCAGAGGCCGGTGTGGAGCCAAGAGACTGAAATCCAGAGCCCTGGGCCGGAGGGTCAGGCGCAGCCAAGGAGACACCTCCCTAAAAAGAAGGAACCTTGAGCCCCTGGAGCGCCGGGCCCAGATCGGGGGACCAGGGCCGGAGGGAAGCGTCCACCTTCAGGGCCACATCCCCGTTCGCGCGGCCTTTTCCATCTGACTTGGGGACCACGGGTTCCTCCGATTTCTGGAGTTCCGAGCAAATGACTAGCGGAGCCGTGTTTTTCCCTCCATCGTGCAGGCACGGTTCAAAGAACGGGCGCAGGGGGCCAGAGAACGCGTGGGTGAAGGTAAAGATGTGGGACCTGTCGGTCGCGTTGTAGAAGGAGATGATGCCTGCTTCGTAGTCCAGGAAGACGCCCACGCAGCGCGGGGCCTCCTTCAGGCGGAAGGGGGTCTGCGGGGACGTGAGAGCTTCGTACTCGGCCCCGCGGCTCTGCCGCACCAGCCAGTGCCCGTTGGCGGGCGAGGCGGTGACCTTGCCCTTCCTGCTCACTGACTCGCTGCACACCCCCAGGATCCATTTGGTCTTGTCTCCCACGTACACCTCCCAGTAGTGACAGCCCGCCACGAAGGCCTCGGAGCCCAGGACGCTGACGACGAAATCGAACCTCTGGGGGGTGTCAGGCACAGGCTGCCTCCTGTCTCCGAGCTGCACACGCCGGCGGTCCTCGGACAGGATGAGTTTGGGATGCGCGGTGTCGGGATCCAGGGTCACGGCCACTGCAGAGGGGCACAGAGAGCAGAGGTTTGGGTAGCTTTGGAGGGAAAAAATCACCTCTGGGTCAGCAACCCCCATCACTGGACCCATTTTAGTGTATGATTCCTTCGACCCCAGATGTACTGGAGCCAAAGAAAAGTGTCTTCCGTTCTCCTGGATCTCCTGGTCATCCTATATAATAAAAGGCCAGCGACCGTAACGCCCGGAACGACCACTTAACCAGTTGCGATGAGGTGCATTGCCCACCTCAGTCCCTCCTCCTCGGCCTGCAGGCTCCGACTTCAGCATGATGAATAGGGAACCACAGGGAACCGGGTGGGTGGCAGTGGCAGCCTGAGCGAAGCAGCCCAGGTTCTGGGGGGTGGGGGTAGGGGTGGGGGAGAGGCTTACTCTTGCATGAATTTTCATGCACCGGGCCTCTAGTGTGTTCAATAAAACAGGAGAAAGTTTTCCTTTGTGAAGCTGCCTTAATCCCTTAGGAAATACCGCCTTGGTCTTCGATGGTCCAAAGGAAGCTAAAGTATGATAATAAACCTGGGCTCTGATGTTAGACCCAGAAGCCACACTGGACGTGGAAGTCCCAGCTCTGCCACAGGCTGGTTATGTGACCTGGGGCGTGCTATTCATCTCCAAACCTTAGTCTCTTCATCCATACAGTGGGAACAATGGCAGACCCGACGTGGTCGAGCTGCCGTGCACATTTGATGAGCTAACACATGAGGTAGTGCCTCCTTCATACACAGTGTGTGATGCTCATCTTGTTAACTGAAATTGTTGCTCAAAATTATTATTTTTAAATGTTAGTAAAGAGAGAAGGATTCTTTCTTAAAATTGTGGAAGGTCATGGTGGGTCTCCCTCCTTCCCCCAGTACAGAGAGCAGACACTTCTTGGAGAGTTAAATCTGTGAAATGTGTGTTTTGCCCAGGTGGTGGGAATAAGCCAGACTGAGTGTGAGAAGGACTTGGGAATTCCCAGAATGTCAACCAAGGTGACCAGGCATGCTCTGAAGCGGCCGACTCATCAGTTCCACCTGCCTGAAGGAAGAGGGAGCGAACAGGAGGGGCATCAACAGACTGGAAAACTGATAAGGACCCAAGCAGGGAAATTAACAGATCTCATTGAAACAGCAGCAAAAAAAAAAAAAAAAAGCAAATATTTAGAAATAAAGTAAAAGAGATGTGCAAATCTTTTAGAATTAAACTACAAAACCTTTTGTAGTCTACAATGGGGGGAGGGGCACCCGCCCACCCATTTCCCTTCTTCTCTGAGAATCTCAATCACCAACCCCCAAGAGCAAGAAGAAGGTGGCAGGTGTGTGTACAGACAGAGGAGCACTGGCTATTTACCCAACTGTGGGATAAGAAGGACTTCCAAAACCTGAAAGCACAGAGGAAACTACACAGGAAGAGATTCTTAAATTGGGCTACATAAAAACAAGACATTCACGCATCAAACAAATAATATAAGGAAATTAAAATGCAAACGAAAAACTCAGAAAAATAATTTGTGAGGAACAGGACAGAGTTTCTACACTTTATATAGGAAGAATCCTCACAAACCAAATAGTAGCCAGAATAGGCATAGGAGCAGACAAGTCTTCGAGAAAACATGCAAATAACCAATAAACTTTCTAAGTCTCACTGAGCCTCCCCCCCAAAAAAAATCACAAAGATTTTTTAAAATTTGATAAGCAGATAAATAGGTTTGATTAACAAAAAACAAACAAACAAACAAAAAGTCAGCCTGCATTCCAAAGGAACAGAGCACTGGGCTCTGAAATGTAGGCGGGTTTGCCTGGTGTAACTTACCGAAGTGCAGCCGGGCCCTTCTCCAGCCTGAAAGACATAAAAGGGATTGTAAACTCGAAGGAGACAAGGAGAACCCCCAGAGGGCGGGAGTCAGGCACCCAGAAAGTGCATCTCACCTGAGTTGGCTGCAGCTCTTTTCAACTCTACAAAAAAGAAACAAGAGGGGTGAGCTATCACTGAAACTATAGAATCAGCAGGAGAGAATTCGGGATGGAAGGACATGGGAAACTTACTCAGTTCACTCCGGAGTTTCTCTAAAGAATAAAAACAGTGTGACCAATCAGAAGGAGGGCTTCCACATTTCCATAATGCTTCGGTCCCCTCCCAACCGCATTCCCACATCAGATCGTCACTAGCAATACCCTGACCATCCAGCCCCACCTCAGTGATCCCCAGAGATACTTCAGAGGGCCAACAAATTCCCAAGTAAGCCAAACCTGACTACAACTCATTGAGTAGCACATCTCACGCATCTAGGTAACTACAATGGAATATATGTAGATATTGTGAGAGAAGAACAAAATATAAGTTCATTTAAAACTATCATTGAGCTCTGGTTGGTGTTGCTCAATGGTTAGAGTGTTGGCTCCTGCACCAAAAGGTTGCAGATTCAATCATGGTCAAGGGCACGTACCTGGGTTGTGGTTTGCCCCCACCCCACCCTGTGGGGGCACCTGGAAGGCAACCAGTTAATATGTCTCTCTCACATCGATGTTTCTCTCTCTCTCCCTCCTCCCTTTCTCCCTCCCATTCTCTCTGAAAAGCAATGGAAAAATATCCTTGGGTGAAGATAAACAAACAAAAACTATCACTGAATTTCTATTAGATTTTCTTGTGTACATTTAATCAAGGTAAAATAAAGTAGACATGTCATGTCTGAAAATTCTTTTTTTGCACTAAAGAGGGTCTCATACATGAGATGGAGAAACGCTCCTCCACGTGTTCAGTTTAATGAGGACCCATCGCCTGGGACACCACCTAAGGGAATGCCATGCCTGGTGATAAAAGGTCTTCCAGGTGGCTTCACCTACGGAGCTACATCTCTTCCTGATTAACATTTCCTGCTTAGAGACTAGGACCTAGCGTTGGTCTGTGAGGTCCGAAAGGTTGGCGACCGCTGGACTAGGTAACTGTTGTGCAGGAAAGGGGAGCAGGGAATATTTGAGAAGAGAGGCCCTTGAGAGCCAAGAAATCTCCAACCCCGTGGTTTAAAGCACCCTGACCCCTCCCTTCTGCCCCAGGAAATGAAACTGAGACACCCATCCTAAAGCAAAGATGTTGGCAGAAGGAGGTCCATGCCACGGAGGAGCAGAACTTACTGAGGGATTTGTGGAGCCTTCCTGAAAAACAGAAAAAGGCCTGAGTGAGCAGATGCTCTGCTTTATCCCTGAGCCCAGGGAAGCTCATCACCCCCCACCACCACCACCACCCCCACACCGTGGAAAGGATGACATGCCTCTCAGCTGCTAGTGCGTCGCCTCCCAGAGGCAGCCTGGGGAAGCCAGTGCAGCTGGTGCCACTTTCCAAGGACCAGGCTGCCCAGGCCTGGCTCCTCCTTCCTTTTCCCTTCCTTTTTATCTGGTTTCATTTCCACTGTCTGTACGAGTGTTTCCATATGTTTGTAACCATGTGTACATGAGTGTGTGCCTTGCTGCCCTTTTATAACCTACTGTTTATAATATCTACAGCAAAGGCCTAGCACTGACTAGTGGACATGGCTTTCTCACTCTCTACAGTAATTCTCCTGAAGTCCTACAGAGAGAGTCTCAGATTTGGAGATTCCAGATGGTTTGGGATGTATGTATATGCTTCACATGCTGCCAGGAGCATTGGCCCTGCCAGGGAATTAAAGTTATAACTTTGAGTCCACTGCCAGGCCCTGTGCTAAGGGCTGGGCATGTGTTAGGCATTAGGCCCTGGAGCAATGAAGCTGGATATGATATGGCCCCTCAGGAGCTCTTGGTTTATGTTTATATCAATGATATTAATCTGATTAATGTTATAATTATATAATGTTCACTCTATTAATGATTGATTATATTATGTATACATTATATTATTTATATATAATATTGACATATTTTATTTCCACTATTATTAGCCTCCATTGATTGTGTCCTGTTCTCATAATGATGTAGGCACTGAACCCCCTTGACAATGTAAGGTGCGTAGAATTATTGTTCCCAGGTCTGAAGCTCAGAGGGACATGGAAATTTGCCCAGGTCATCCAGTTAGCAAGTGGCCAAGGAGACAGGCTTCAAGCCCCAGTGTGTCTGACTCCCAGTCAGAGGCCTTGGCCACTGCACCACACTGTGCCTACGGCTTCTGGAGAGAGCAGCCAGAGGGCCCCTGCTGCGTGCACCCCCACACTTTCACCCGCGGGGAGGACAGGTGAGGGCGGAGGAGAGAGGCCCAAATCATTGAATGTGTTCCATTTCTGAGCCAGTGACTTGTATTCTCAGCTAGATTCTAAGGGGCAGAGACTGCCTGTTTTTTGTACCCTGGGTGTCGAACTTTCACCCTCAATGGCCCAGAACAAACATTCAGTTAATGAAGATGAAATGGCAATAAGGAAGAGGAGTACCAGGCACTGTAATAGAAGAGTTGTTTTCAAGCTGTCTCTTTAAACCCTGAAAACAATCGGGCAAGGGGATTTTTAATCCCATTTTATAGTTGAGGAAACCAAAGGTCACAGCAGTGAAGTGACACATCCAAGGCAGACCAGTGACCTGACCAGGTGTCGCTGACTCCAGAGCCTGTGGGGCTCCCACTGTATCACACCACCTGTCTGAATGCAAATGTTGTGTGGATCCTTGAGGTTCTCATACATCCCAGATGAACATATTCATAGACTTTAAATTGAATATAGGCCTTTTTAGGTGACTGGTGGAAAGGCTGATAAAAGGAGCTCATGCTAATTCAGACCTATGACTTTTTACCATGAGCATCCCCTCACCCACTGCCACCTACCCCATAGCCCCCTCACACTGGAAAGTAAATTCCAATAATATTAATGAAGAATATGTGTGTGTATACCTGAATAATCCTATATAATAAAAGGCTAATATGCAAATTGTCCCCTCTACCGGGAGTTCCACCAGGGGGCAGGGCCAGCTGACCAACCACCTGTGGCCCCTCCCCTGGGCCAGCCCCACCCCTGATCACCCCTCCCCGCCCCAATTGGGGGCAGGGCCGGCCTGCCAACCTCCTGTGGCCCCTCCCCCTGGTTGGCCTGGCCCAATTGGCCCTGATCAGGGCAGGCCAGCCAGACCTTACCTGTGCACGAATTCATGCACCAAACCCCTAGTGTATGTATAATAATAGACTGTCAGCATTTATGTAGAAGGAGAAGGAATATGTTATTTGCTCCCTACCCCTTCATATAATTACCTTTTTCTTTTGCATGGTCTGAGAGAAGAGTTTCTAGAGGGAGAAAAGTAATAATAAAAAATAAAAAATGAGATTCTGTGCCATTACCTTGAAGGTCCCTAATTCTTACTGATTTTACCTGCTTGCAAACCTGTTTACCTCTATCACCATGCCACCTCCCTAATCCAGGCCCTCATCATCTCTCAACTGGATGACAGAACTAGTAGCCCAAATTGCCCCCAGTCCTGTCTTGCTCTTTCTGGCCTCTTCCCAATACTGCAGTCAGAGAAAGCTGCTCAAAGCACAATTCTGATCAAGATATCCCACTCTGCTTTGCCACTGCCCTGGAGAGAAAAACTAAAGTTCTCCACATGACCTCCAAGGCCTCACACGGCCTGGCCCTGCCTAACTCTGCAGCCTGGTCCCCTATTAGCGTCCCCCTCACTTCTGCAGTCTTTCTTTCTCTAGCTGGTCTTTCTCTGTGGATCGTTTTCTATTCCCTCTCCCCCCATGCCTCCCCCTCCTCCAGATCAAATATCACTTCCTCTGGGGACTCTTCTCCTGCCCCTGAAGCTTGGTGGTTCCTCCTGGTCATAATCTTCGCAGCCTCCAGGACTTCCACTCGTGGCATCTGTATGGTTGTACTTTTACATTGATGTGTGCAGTTACTTAACTCATGTAGACCTCCCTGGCCAGACTGAAAGCTCCCAGATGGCAAAGACTGCCTGCTTTGACCATTGTATTCCCAGCATTTAGTATAGTCCAGGGCACTTAGTAGACAATTATCAATTATTTGTTGAATGAATAAGAGCTTCCCCCATGTTAGACCTA